GAAGGTTGGAGTCACGAGGCAGTGTGGTTAGAAGGTTGGGGTCACGAGGCATGGAGGGTCTTAAGGCTCCTCACTCAAGTCTGTATTTAGTAAGTTTCTACAGAGACCATGTGTGTGTTGGGCATTCTTCCAGAGTCCAGCATGCCTTCCTAAATGTGCCTTCTCACTGGAGAGAGCACCCAGGACCCCAGCTAGGTTGTCAGATGGTGAGAAATGCTGCAAATTAAGGAGCAGAGTAAATAAATGGCTGGAGTGGAGCATGTTGGCTGCATCCCCTTAGCGAGAGAGGAAGAGATGTCTGATAAAGTGGTGCTTGCATAGGAATGAAGTAGGAAGTTGAGCCCCGGGGGGTGGGCGGGGAAAGAGGTAGCTGTAGAGATGGTATTGAAGGTGTAGAGGCTTAGATGGTAATGGCCAACGAGCACTCCAGGGATTATGGGTGTGTTTAAATCATCGCTGCTGTCCTGATTCGCCATTAGCATGAATTATTGAATTCAGTGAATGAACATAATGATCTATGCAGGCATTCCTAAGTTAGCCACCATACCTAGGTCAGCCCCCACCCAGGTGAGGTTTCTACCTGGGAGAGGGTTGTTCTTTGTTTGTGGGCCATAGAAAGGGGAATCGCAGACGGCAGTAACCCACCCTTCTTCTCTGCACCCATTTCCTTCTGGAAGAGGGGCGTGCTTGTGAAAAGCCAGGCAACAACTTGTCTCTGAAGATGTAGCTAGAAATAAAAACTACGTGAGTGGTTTTTTGATGGCTTCATTGCCATAATTGTTTCCACATTCCAAGTTGCCTGGTTATCTTTTTTTTTTCTTCTTCAGAGAAACAAGTTGGGAGGATGCAAATGAAAGCTTTGCTCATGAACTTTTCATTTGGATTCCACATATAGACTTTCCAAACCACCGTTTTATGAAGTCTTATATTACTGGAGTTTGAAGTTGTGGCCATCACTCCAAAGTTCAGCATCTTCTGTGTCTGGGTCAGAGCTACTAAACCTTCTAAAACCCTCAGCATAAAAACAAACACGAGCTGAGATGGGGGCAGGATCGGGCCAGCACCGTCAATGTGACTGACTGCATTGCTTCCCATGTTCTGTAAAAACCGAACGCATCTTTTCAGGGGGAGAAAAGTCCTCTCCCACCACCTCAGGCTATTTTAAAAGAGGAGCGTGGAGGGCCGAAGCCTGTTTAGAGTGTTCATCTGTGTTATGTACCGTGGGGTGGTCTTCAAATGTGATTTGGTCAAATCATCTCCTTTTCAGTAATGTAGCCATCACTGACTGTCTAACTAGCATTCACAGTTCTGCCTGGTGTTGCCTTGGCCTAAGGAAGGGAAGGTCCGTGTACTGTGAGTCTATGCGATGGCTTCCCGAATAGAGTCAACTGCCTCTCAGCCTGGTGCTCTTGACAGCTGCTTGTGTTTTCTCTTCCGCAAAAATGGCTGTGCGTCCTTGTTGGGAAGATGAAATGAAGTGATCCATGTAAAATGCTTAGTCCAGCACTTGGCCCCAGGACACACGCTTAATATTAGTAATTAAATTAGAATAGAGTGGCGATGTTAACTCACTGAGAACACGTAGTTAATAAGTGATGAAACTCCAGTTTGGCTTAGTGACTGTTGTGTAAGTCAGTAAAGCTGCTCAACTCTGGGCTTTTCGTTTGAGGGGAGTGGGACACAGCAGAGGACAAAGGTCACGTGCTCACTTATCAAGTCCATGCTATCAAGGTGAGCATAACAGACAGATCCCTGCACCGTTGGAGCAGAACGGTCTGGGGTGAAAGTTGGATACGTGGAAGAAAAGCCTAGGCATTGCCTGAGTTACAGCGTGTCTGTGCAAGTGCTGAAACACATCCAAAGGCCTTCAAGTATCCAGAGTGATGGCAAGTTGAATTGGCTATCTTGTAGAGAACACTTTAGGTTAGGAGTGAAATGACTTATTAATTTTTGTCTGAAATCACACAATCATGTTGTAAGGGCTGAGAGAGGTCAAGAAATGCTGAGTTGGTCATTAATTATAAAACTGTCAGGATTTTTGGTGATTTCCAGCTTAGAAAATACAATAACATATCGCCAGTCTGTCCTGGAAGCCATCAGTAAGCTTGGTAGCAAATGTAGATGGCAGGAAGTCTTGTGGGTGAATTGATGAAGGCTGCAACCAGCTGCATCAGTTATCCGTGTGGAAAGTCTTAGGGCGGTGTGTGTGACCTAACATTTCTTCTCCATGGAAAACCCTCAAGTGAGCAGAGCTGGGGAAGGTCAGTCAAGTCTACGCATGCCTTCCAGGCTTCTCCTTTAACCCTGAAGCTGGTTCTTAAGAGCAATTGATGTACAACTGAAAGCAAGGTGGCCGTGGCGGTTGCCTGCCTTTAGTCCCAGCACTCAGGAGGCAGAGGCAGGCAGAGCTCTGAGCTTGTGGTCAGCCTGGTCTACATGAATTCCAGGACAGCCAGGGAGACACGGCTTCGAGGCATGATTTGCACGTACTGCTTGATAGTCTTTCCCCGTATGAACTGTGCCCTCTCATTCTGTTTCTCCCAGATGTAGAGTCTTGTGCAGGGGTGGGGTAGGGTGGGGTGGGGAGTGAGCCACTCAGTATAAGTTCTGCTAATCATAGTTTCCCTGTGATAGCTCAACATTTTTCAAGACAACATGGCTTTTTGTTCTCATAACAATTTTTCAAACCATGAATATGCAACTTAATTTTTTTTAACAGAAGAAAAGTAGAATTTGAAGATTATTTTGAGTACCAATCATCAAGGCTTTCCTGCCTCATACAATCACAGAGTTGACCAAACGTAAAGACCCAAACTAAAAGCCCAGCACCTCTTTAAAAATATGAAAAAAATTAATCAGACTTTAAAAACATCTGAACTCTAACATTCTATATACTATTTCTAATAAATCACTCAGGAATAATATCATATTTAAATTAGAAAAATGTCTTTCTTAGCCATCTAGAGTATATAACAAAGCAAAATGCATATGTAAATCATTTTTAATTAGTGAAAGGAAACAGTATGATTGTATCCTTAAAACTTCTCATGTGACATTTGGGGACAATTCCTATGGCTAGAACTGAAGTAACTTGGACTACATAAGTATACACAGAGTTTATTTCTCACAGTTATGGAGCTGGGAAGTCCGAGATCCAAGATCAAGACCCCATCAGATCTGGTGTCTGGAGGAGGCTGAGTCTCTGCTTTAAAACAGAGCTTGGCCGTGGTGTCCTCCTGAGGTAGAGTGACAAAAGAGAATCCGAATGGTCTTGTACGGGGTGGAATTTCAGTGATAATTCAGAGTAATTCTGCCTCCACAAGGAGGGGCCAGACTGATCTGGAATGACACAAGAGAACAATTACAGAGTGAGTTCCTCAGATTGTCTAGAATCTTTCTATCATTTTAACGTTGTTGAATGTCTAATTTTCTCCTTGGGTATTTAACTGAATTCCAGTAATTAATATTTTCTGTTAAATCTTCCTCCTATCTTGCCAGTAGACTTAGAAATACAATCGCTCTCAAGCAGTTTGCTAAGCTCTGTCATAAACCTTTCAGACACATTGATATCCTCTACTTCATCCTGAAAACCATGAATTATTCCTACAGTTGGCCATGCATATAAAGATTAATTGCTTCTAAAGGTAAAACACTAGAAATAACCTCAGTGTCCAAACCTAGGGACTAGTTAACAGGATGTTAAAAAAGCTTTTAAAACTATGAAATTTGCTTAAGTATACCAAGTAAACATTGAACATTTTATCTCACAACAGAACAAATACTTGGTTCACCTTAAGATACCATTCCACAATTGAAATATAAGTTGAGACGCAGGCTGAGATATAGCTATGCTTTGTGCTATTTAAAATCGTCTAGACTTGTAATCCCTTCTCTGGTGTGGCGTCAGATTCCAGAATCTACAAGAAGTTTCAAAACTTGGGATTACTTCTGTGCTTTCCCTGTTACACAGACTTCATTCCAAAAGGTGGACAGCTTAGCTATCACATCTGCTGAGCCTGTGGTTCAACGAAAAAATCCAAGCCTTGTGTTTCATGAGGGATTAGATAGCCCTTCCAGCCAGAATTTAGAATATTGGCTTCAACTCCACTCAGTCTTATATCGACAGGGACCAGTGTCATGCCTGCAAGCCTCATACTATAGTTTGGTTATCTGCACAAACCCTAGATGTCAACAGCATCTGTGAAGGCCTTGCCCTCAATCACCTGTGGGTTGGAGAGCATCCTGGAAGAAACTGACTTGAAGTGGTTGGGATGGAAAACCCAGCAGACATATTTTACCCTGGGTGTAAAATGTACACTGGGTGGCTATGTAGAAGAAGTGAAGAAGATGAGGGAGGGTATTGAGACCAGGGTCCCCCTCCCTACACCATACGCTTAATAAGTGATTGTCACTGTAGCCCGAAACCAAATGATGCTGACTGATTGATCAAGCCTGGAGTGGGAGTTGTGGGAATCGATCTCTTGGAGAAGGCATTTGGCCCTGGAAGAGTAATGCAATCCCATTATCTTGGCAAGAATATGCTTGGCATTACAAGCCTGCTTTTGATTACTGGACAGAACTCATAAATAAGCAATGGCCTAGACACTAACAGCAGAAAGCATTCATTAGTGATTGTCACTGGAAATCCTAAGACAGCACATTTGACATATTGATGCTTCCTTGGTCGTCCATTCATTTATTAGCCAGCTGTTCATTACCTGTCGCGAGCAGGCGGAGTGTCCGGATCCTGGTGTGAACTAAGGGAACACAGGCACTCGCTCCCTAAGCTTTCAGCTGACCCTGGGGAAGAAAGAATTTGCATGCAAGCAATGCACTGAGATGGAGAGCAGGAGTGTCTGTCCCAACACAAGAGGCGTTTACGCGGGCCGAGACACAGGAGACTGAAAGGGGTCACGGGGGGGGGTGTGCGGTGGTCAGTTGGTGGCTTAGCAAGTGATGCTCCTGCCAGTGACGTTTGTCTTCTTTTCATCCCTTTCTAGGGTGTGCGGCTCTTGTCACCATGAATGAGTGCCACTACGACAAGCGGATGGACTTCTTCTACAACAGGAGCCGCACGGACACGGCCGACGAGTGGACGGGGACGAAGCTCGTGACTGTCTTGTGTGTCGGGACATTTTTCTGCCTCTTCATATTTTGTTCTAACTCCCTGGTCATAGCCGCAGTGGTCACCAACAGGAAGCTTCACTTCCCCTTCTACTACCTGCTGGCTAACTTAGCCGCTGCGGACTTCTTTGCTGGAATCGCCTATGTATTCCTGATGTTTAACACTGGCCCAGTGTCAAAAACCTTGACTGTCAACCGCTGGTTTCTCCGGCAGGGGCTCCTGGACACAAGCCTGACTGCTTCTCTGGCCAATTTGCTGGTTATCGCGGTGGAGAGACACATGTCAATCATGCGGATGCGGGTGCACAGCAACTTGACCAAAAAGAGGGTGACACTGCTCATTCTGTTGGTGTGGGCCATTGCCATCTTCATGGGGGCAGTCCCCACATTGGGCTGGAACTGCCTCTGCAACATCTCTGCCTGCTCTTCCCTGGCCCCCATTTACAGCAGGAGTTACCTCATTTTCTGGACCGTGTCGAACCTCTTGGCCTTCTTCATCATGGTGGTGGTGTATGTTCGTATCTACATGTATGTCAAGAGGAAAACCAACGTGTTGTCTCCACACACGAGTGGCTCCATCAGCCGCCGGAGGGCTCCCATGAGGCTAATGAAGACGGTGATGACTGTCTTAGGTAAGAGGAGCCAAATGGGCCAGTGTTCCCCTCCAAGCTGCAAATCACTGCCGAATGCTCACTGTGTGCAAGGCCCTCGCTGTGCACTCAGGAGGCAGTACTGAAGAGATAAGGCACAAGTTCCCACTCAGTGCTCAAATTCTCATAGTAGTGAGAAAGTAAGTGTTCTGATAGGGCAAACACCGCCAGCAGGACCTAAAAGATAAGTCGTGCACTTAAAAAAAGGAGGCAGAATAGATACCACACAGGTATAGCTTGTGATTCTCAAAGGCACGTGAGGCAACACAGGCTTTGGAGCAGAGGGGACAGCCTGCATATCTGAGCCATGTCACCCAACAGAAGCTGAAGTGTGGGTGTGGGAGTGAGGTCAGATAGCTGTCAGGCAGGGTGGCCCACCCGTGACCCATGCAGGGCCACGTGATTGCAAGGACTTTGGTGTTTCTGAGTGAGGCGAGGAAGGCCTGGCAGGGTTTGGACCAGGTATTGACACACCTGTCTGCTAGGCTGTGTCTCCCACTGATGCAGGAGGATGCCGATTGAGTAAGAGCAAAGGTGAAACCTGGGACCTGGGCGCATCCCCAGGGACTTTTCCAGGCTCAGAACTGTAAGCCCAGTACATGGGTGGCTGAGCCAGGAGGAGTTCAAGCCCAGCCTGGGCAGAGAGTGATGCCCTTTCTAAAAAACAAACAAACAAACAAACCCCAAACAGTTAGAAACAGAAGGACTTCAAACTGCCCGTGGTTTACCCTGAGAAGGAAAAGTATTACAGATTTTGGGAGACTTGGGTCATGTTTGGAATCAGAGTGTCTCTAGGACTTGGGCGTCAGCAGACACCAAGCAAGATGGTTCAAGCCAAGGGCCTATGTAATAAATATTTATATAGTGCCCAATATGCACTAAACATTTGTCTTGCTTTTTTACGAGTATTAATTTATTTCATCCTCATGGCAACTCTGTGAGATTGGTGCTTGAATTATCCAGCCATGACTGGATAAAGAAACCAAATGTACAGTTTAAGCAATGTGGCCTTAATCATTTCCCTGTTGGTGGTGGAGCCAAGGTCTTTAGAATACACATACCTGCTGTCACAGTCCATAATTAGTTTTGATTTGTTTGGAGAGAGAGAGAGAGAGAGAGAGAGAGAGAGAGAGAGAGAGAAGCTCTCTCTCTCTCTCTCTCTCTCTCTCTCTCTGTGTGTGTGTGTGTGTGTGTGTGTGTGTGTGTGTGTGTGTGTGTGGTCAGAGGCTAACCTTAGGTGATATTCTTCAGATGCTGTCTGTTTTGTTTTGTGTGACAGTCACTCACTGACCTTGTGCTTACCAAGTAGGCTAAGTGGCTGATCAACAAGCCTTAGGAATCCACCTACTTCTGTCTCATGAACAGTAAGGTTGCAAGTGTATGCCGCCATGCCAGCTTTTTAATACTGATTCTGTGGCTCAAACTCAGGTCCTCAGTCATGCAAGGTGAGCACTTTACCAACAGAACAAACTCCCAGGCCCTAATTGTGTTTTGTTTGCTTGCTGCCATTTTTTTTCTGTCTACTTCAGCATGTCTTCCTTCAGCATGTTGGCTATTTTCCCCTGGAGATGTACAGGCTCATGATTCTTCCAATGAAGACTGGGGATTAGCATAAATAGGCATGCCAGTGAGCTGGGATACATCTGCTCAGTGTGTAGAGATGACTATTTGCTTGGCCATATGTCTTGAGGAATTACTTGTCTTCAAGAAACAATACCTTCTCTCTCAGCACACTGTCTGTATCATGCAGCAAGAGGTAGAAAGGGCTTCTGTCCCCCGGGTGGAAAAAGCAGGTCTTGGCAGTAGTTACCACCATGGGCTTCACTTTCCTGAGTGAGTTTGCTGACAATTGTGGCAGAGTTTAATATAAAGGACTTGTATGGTTTCCACAGCTGTGGCTTTGGATAAGAGAAAAACCAGAATAAACAATGAAAGCTCGGAGGAAGATATGAGAAGTCGTGGGATTTGGATGCAACAGCACTGGGGGATTGGTTACCCAGGAGGAGACACTTGGGGGTGTGGGGAAGTTAACCAGTGGTGAGACAGAGGGATTTGGTGGAAGACAGGAAATTAGGGAAAGGGAAATGAAACTGACCAGCTAGGTGGTGATGTCTTGAAATATCTAGCTTCCAATTTCTTTAATGACAGAGATTTGGGGTTTGGCCCCCCAGTGTTTTAAAGGTTTTCTTTCTTTCTTTCTTTCTTTCTTTCTTTCTTTCTTTCTTTCTTTCTTTCTTTTATATAACCAAGCCCATTTAAATGAAAACAAACATTTATAGACAATATTTGGGAATTTGGGCGTCGTTCTTTCCAAACTACTTCCTGCTGGTAAGGGGCGCTGTCATGGGGGATTCTAAGAAGATGCAGAAATCCTGGCTCTAGTCTGTAAGGCTGCTTGGTCCAGCTGTTTTGAATGTAGGATCACCTGGTACTCTGTTTCAGGTGGTCTGGCTTGATCAAACCACATTAGTCTGGAAGGAATCCACAGCTTTTCATTTTCTGTGGAAACAAAAATAGAAATCCTTTTCCCCAGTAACTTGTCCTTGAACTTAAATTTTGGAGTTAGAGCATTTTTTAAAATTTAATTTATTATTTTACATGTCGATCCCAGTTCCCTCTCCCTCCCTCCCTTTTACCCTCTCTGCCCTCTCACATGCACCCTAACCACCCTCCCCTCCCATCCCCCACCCCAATTCCATATGTAGGGGAATGCCATCCAATTGGGGTCATGTAGATCTGACAGGTCATGTGAAGTAGGGACTAGGGCTTCTCTCCTGTCTCTAGATTAAGGCAGTTATCCCTCCATGGGGGGTGTGTTTGCAAGGTCCTTTTGTGCACCAGGGATAAATCCTGGCTCCACTGTCTGAGGTCCCTTAGATGCTCAGTCCTTCTGGCTGAGACCCATATTCAGGGGGGCCTGAGTCAGTCCCATGCTGGCTTCCCAACTATCAGTCTGGGGGCCCGTTAGCTCCTCCTTGTTCAGGTAAGCTGTCTCTATGTGTTTCTGCTGCCTGCTCTTGTCCTCTGCATCTGCCTCTAGGTTCTAGTTTGACTCAGTGTTTATATATGGGTGTTTGCTCCTGTTTCCAACAGGCATTAGATGATGGCTCCATGGATAAGATGGATAAGTTAGTTGTTGATCTCACTCTCCGGGAAGGGCATCTATGGTAGCCTTTTCACGGAAGCTCAAATTGTTAGTTGGCAGCAGTCTTGTAGTTCTCTAGACCTTTCTTTGTGTTCAAGTGTTCAACTTTATCTTCAAACCAATATTGGCTCCCTCTTTTATGTGTTCTCTCTCTCTCTCTCTCTCTCTCTCTCTCTCTCTCTCTCTCTCTCTCTCTCTCTCTCTCTTCTGTCTTCTATTCCTAACCAGGCTCAATCTTCCTGGTCGCACATGCCTTCCTCTCCTCCCCATTGTTTTCTCCTACTTCTCTTTCCATTCACTGCCCCCCCACTTCACCTGAGCTCTGGGGGACTTGTCCCTTCCCGGTTCTGTGAGGGACTTTATATGAATCTCTTAGAATACACCTTGTATCCTAGTTCCTCTGGTGGTGTGAATTATAGGCTGGTGATCCTTTGCTCTATGTCTAAAATCCATACATGAGTGAGTACATACTGTGTTCCTCTTTTTGTGACTGGATTACCTCATTGGTGTTTCTAATTTTAGCCATTCTGGCAGGAGTAAGAGCAATATACAGCAAACCAACTGCCAACATCAAACTGAATGGAGAGAAACTTAAGCCAATTCATCTAAAATCAGGAACAAGACAAGGCTGCCCTCTCTCTCCATATCTGTAGAGTGGTCTGAAGTACATTATTCTGTCTTTTTGGGAAGCAGAGTTTCTGAATCTGGAACAGAATAGGTTGCCTTTAAGTTCTTTCCAAGATGTAAGTAGCCAAAGGGAAGAGAAAAGAAGAGGTGTGTGTGTGTGTGTGTGTGTGTGTGTGTGTGTGTGTGTGTGTGTGCGTGTGTGTGTGTTACAAAGGGAAATGCAGAAACCATGGATAAATGAGATTCCTGCAGGGCAGCAGCCAACACAGAGCTGTGTGGATTGACTGTGTCAGAAAGGCAGAGCCTTCTCATAAGAGCATCTCCAGGATCCCAGAGAGGAAGCTTCAGGCTGCTCCACTCACGTAAGAATTCAGTTGTCTGACACAAATGTCTTCCAAACGATGCATTTTGGGAAAATTAGCAGTTCTGGAGTCTACTATCATTGTAGTCGCTGGTTCTCAGAATGTGAGTGGCTTAAAACTGATTTAGGTATTGTAATGAAAAAATGCAAACCTTCTTAAGTAGGGAATACTCATTAAGTAGGATTAACTCCCAAAGTTTCTTAGAAATGTTTTTTTGAAATATTAGAAAGTCAGTCCATATATATCCCTAAACAGTGTCTAGGAGGCAAGAGCTTTGTCTCACTTCCAGGGAGGAAAGCATAGAGGAAGGAGGTGGGGGGGGGGGTCCTGGCATATAGTCAGGAAAGAGAGGAAGACTCATGTGGGTGGATGACGACATCCTAAATATGAAGAAACAGCACGATCAAAATGATGCTAGAAGGTGCTGGAGTCAGCTGACTGGTTTACTTGTTCTTACAGAGGACCAAGGTTTGACTCCCATTACCCACATGGTGGCCCACAACTACCCATAACTCCACTTCCAGGGACCAGATGTCCTCTTCTGAACTCCAAAGTCACCAGGTACACGCAAGGTACACACAAATGCATGCAATCAAAACATTCAATGCACACAAAATTAAGTAAATGAATTTTAAAAAATACTTTTTAAAGTTATGCTAGAAATACCCAAAGCCCAGAGTACAAGGAAGGGCCAGAACAACAGAATCTTGCTTTCCTACTGTAGAAAAAGTTTGGCACTGAGCCAGAAAAGTTGGCTGTTCTGACAGTTGGACATGAACATACAGAGCAGGATCAAGGGTAGACTGCTTTCTGAAGGTGGTGGTGATGGTGGTGCTGTGAGTTTGAAA